ATATATATATAATATGTATATGTATGCATATAGATTTTGCAAACCCTGGTGCTCAAGTGGGGCTTGCCAGCGGCAGGCACCAGGCGAACATCTTTCGGAAGCGCAGCTCTGCGCTTTGAAGGCCGGCGGCGCTTCGTAGTCAAGCAGTCCCACGCAAATGGAGCTCCCAGCTGCCCTGCGAATCATGCAAGGACTGCTTCAAAGCTCTCAAACTAGAGGACCGGCAGGTTCATGAAGTTTATCAGGTGGCTGATGTTAAGGGCTTCTTCACTGTTCATGCTGCTATACTCGTCCGTGCTGATGGAATGCAATCAAGAGCAATGGATGCTGTTTTGAATCAGCTGAACGCTCCGCCGGGAATTCCGACACGCTCGCACGAGGACCTGCAGCGTGCCTTCGAGCAGTGGGGGTGGCCAGTTGCTCAGCTACCCTGCGTCGGCACATGGCATGTCGGCACATCTCTGGGTACATCTCGCAGAAGGCCGTGGAGAGGATTGATCACCGAGTGGGACTTGTACTCAGTGGCTCATGACGTTTTGGTTAGCGGGTCTTTTCGTTTGTCTTCCTGTGCTCGCGTGTTGCCTGCGCTGCCTGGGCACGTGCTGGCTGCAAGGAGTGGCCCCGACTTGTGCGGGAGCTCCTTGAGGTCCCAGAGGCAAGAGTCTCAGCAGAAGGAGGGTGCCCCGTGTTTATGCAGCACGGTGTGCACCAGGACGAGCTCAGCGACGATGGCCTGTTCACTGCCGTCGGCCTGCAATTTGCAATCATGGCAAGTTCGAAAGAGATAGGATGTCATTGAGCATTGCCTTCCCTAATCTCTGCGGTAAGAGACCGGATCCCGTTCCAAGGCATGGTCGAAGATCGACATGCAGAGTACGGGCGAAATCGATGCAGCGGCCTTTGTGTGCTGACGCGAAGTTCACATCTGCAACCATGTGCTAGAAACAGTGTTGGAGAAGGAGTTCGCCCTAGTGAGAATCGAACTGTGCCAGGCCAGCGCTTTGATAGAGGCCCAGACGGATGATGTGGCCAAAGATGACCACGTCGACGAATGCAGTCAAGTAGCTGAAGGGTCATGACAGCAAAGCTTCGCCATGATTGAGGCAATGCCTTCAGGTTTTTAGCGAGCTCATCCTCCTCAAATTGTCCGACAGTGTCATCATTAGGTTTCGCTGATCGACCGTGTGCATTGTTGTGTGGTAGGCTTTGCCCTGCCAAACGTGACCAAGACTTCCAAGGTGTCACATGCTGTCCCCCAGCGCATCCCTACGTTATTCGTGTGTGTGTGTGTCTCTGTGTCCATAGTCTATAGATGTCAGAAGCAATTCCATGACGACCCTTCTTCAAGCAGAATGTCCGACGAGGGCAATGCAGGTTCGGCCAGTATACTGGTCCACTTCGCAGGTTTCACCGTTCGAAAATCATCTCCTCTCATCTCCTCTCATCTCTCATCCCCGAAGGGGCCAGAGAGCAATAGCTAGGGCCAGGGCAGCGGGCCCGTGGCCGCAAGATGTCGCAAGGGCCGGACGCCTTATTTGGCCAGCTGTGACTTCTGGCAGAAGCTGCCGCGCACGGCCTCAGTATAGACCCCCGTTCGTTCCATGGAGCGCGTGCGCAGCGGTTGCAGTGAAAATGTCAGAGTTCCGTAGCAGAATTGCCGTGGTGTTGTTGATCCCACATCGCAGAAATTCAAGCAAGACATGAGCTGACACGTGCAATCATCATGTGTGCTGGCATCCACCAAGTCCATTGCTTCAACAAAAACATGAGCTGGCTCAAGCTCTCGTGTGCCCGAAACAGGATTGTCATGCCGTCGCCAAAATCTCAGTTATCACTGGGACTCACACTTCAAGATTCCAAAGTTGGCTTTCCTTTCAGGTTCTCCTCCCGCAAGATACCCCTGACCTCTTCGAAAATACCTTATGTACACCTTATCATGTCACTCTTAAGTTATACTTGCAATTTCGGAAGGTAGTATCGTATCAAGTTATGCCGGAAGCTTGGAGCCGCGAAGTGGCTTGTCTCGCGATGCAGTCATGATTACTGTGTTGTGGGTCCAGCTAGCAGCTAGGCAGTAAGGGCAGCAGTCGAGTCCCTTGGATGCCTGGAGACCTGGACGACTGCACTAAGGATAGATGACAGCGCCGGCGCCAAGCCCGAGGTTTGCGTGTGCCAATGACAAGCCTGTCGAGCCTTAAGCCTGAAGTCATAAGAGTACTCCAGTGCAATTAGGACTGACTGGCTGTCTTCCTTGGGTACATGTTCCAGGGAACAAGAGCCCGAAACGCAATTCGATTGCCGCAGCTACGGGCAGAAGGACGATAGCGCATTTCCCTACTTGGAGTCAACAAACCATATGTGAACGGCCTGAGCTGAAAGCGAACCACACTGGAACTCGCAGTTGAACAGTCAATCTTATCACATCTACGTCATCTAAGCTGTCGCCTCCTTGAAGCGGTGACCTGCGAATCCTTCTGCTGGTTGTTTCATGTCATTCTGCCACTGTTGCACGCGGAGTTGCAACCTTGGGTATGTCGGCCCCCATCGATGTGGACGAAAAGGGAGCTTCCGAAGGCGGCATGCTTCCCGAGATGCACAGCGTGCACCAAGGAAAAGCTGCTTGGAAGCAGTGCTCGAGCACATGGCCGACATGTCCTGGCACTGCTTGCAATCTTGTCTTTGCCGTCGCCGGGGCCCGGCCAAGGTGGTCTCCATTCGTACTTTCGGCGCTTTCGTTCGAATTCCTTCAGGTGCCTCGTGATTGTCCACTGACACGACCCGTGTAATTACATGTGGATCTTTGCTCGTGTGGGGTTTGACGATTGCATTTTGGCCAGGTGAAGCGTACAAGGCCTGTGCCTTTCATCGTGCAATCGGCAGCAAAGTCTGCCTGCAGTATGCTTCCCGCCCGTCTGTCAGTAGGAGTTAGAAAGTCAGACATGTTGCAGGACGGCCTGGTGCACATCTCGTGCATTGCTGCAGGGCGCGTAAAGGACGTGTCTGAGCACCTGGATGTTGGTGAGACAGTCTGGGTGAAGGTGATGGACTCGGGCAGTCTCAAGAACAAAGGGCGCCGGCTTGAACGGAGCTTTTCCGATTCGTTCCAGGAAGCAGTATCCTCCCCGTTGTTGGTCCCAGGTTGTAAACATCAACCAGGAGGAAGGAAAGCTTGGACTGGACATGAGACGCTGGAAAGCAAGTCAAGCACTAAAGACATGTGGGTAGCGCAAAGCAGATGTTCGATGAACATGCGTTAAAAGAGAATGGTTGCAGATGTCTGACACCGAGGATATGTGAACCAGGAGACGGGGGAGGACCTGGATCCAAGACATAAGGAAGGACGCTTCCCCAAGGGGGGAGGCAAGCCAAAGCGTCAGAGCACCGAGGCCCCCGACCCCGTGTGGGAGATGCTTGCTTTTGGGATATTTATCCTCGAGGTGTGCGGAGGTTCTCAAAGTCTTCAGAGCCCCCTTTTGCAAGGCCCCCGGCTTTTTGGTCACTGCCGCAGGATTTCCCTGAACAAAAATGATGGTGGTCGCTCGAAATTCCTTGCGCCCCTGAATTTCACAGGACATGGTGAAGGACGCAAAGTCCATGATGGACGAGATCAAGAAGATGAAAAAAGAGACTAAGCTAAAGAAAAAGTTCTTCAAGAAAGAAGCGAAAAAAGCGTTGCCATCTCAGCAATACTCCCATCGTGTGAACAGCCTGTTTGCAGATCAAGGCCTGGCATGCATGGCATAGTCAGGAAGAAGTTGAAGAAGCTTCAGAACAAAGAGAATCCAATCAAGGGGGCCAAGGCAGCAAAATCGGATAGCAGTAGCTCCTCCTCTTCATCTTCCAGCTCCTTGTCGGAAGCAACGCAAGCGCGTTTGCGGAAGGACGGCTTGTTCCCGGCTTTCTTGTTATTGTGGACTTATGCTTGCGCTCTTGAGTTTCAGGCCAAGTCCTGGATCTGACACTTGTTTGTAATGCAGGAATACGGGCTGCCCAAGACTGCCGTCAAGGCAGAGAAGAAGGAAGCACAAAATGGGAAGGATAACACCGGAAGGACCGCCGGCAGCCTGCATTTCCAAGGGCTGTGACTTCATTGGTAAGATGAGAAGTAGCGTAGCAGAAAGGATGCCGATTGCAACCCACAGTCCTCAGGATTGTCTTGCGAGATGCTGATGAAGTTGGCCGTGAAAGCAATCGCTTAAAGGAGCGAAACACAGGAAAGTCGAGAACACGGCCAAGCCCTGAACGGAAGGACCGAAGTGTTCCACATGGTGAGCGAGGCAAGGAGCGCGGTCACGGACGTGACGAGGGACGCAGGTCCGGGCGACAGAGACGCGGCGACAGCCGGGTTCGGAGGCGAGCAAGTGACTCCCGTCCAGCATCTCGGTCTCGGAGCTACAGGCGAGACAGGCGGAGGCGTCCCCCAGCCGCGGCCCTCCGCCGGAACGACAGCCGAGACAGTCGCGACAGGAGACGGGATTCTCGTGACTCGAGACAGCCAGGGCCAAGTCCAGAACCTGAGAAGGAAAAGAAAGACGCAACGCGGAAGCAGGACCCTGCAGAGCGCGAGAGGTGCGGCTGCAGTGCTCATGCCCAACCAAGGTGATGCCACAACTGCATGTTAGTCTTGGCTTGATAAAGCGGTGTAGACTCTAGACTTTTCGAGTTTTTGTTGGCCTGGCAAGGGCTCGCCTCTACGCCAGCGGAGCGGCAAGCGACATAGAGGCGGAAGCAGGGAAGGGCCGGAAGGGCAAGGAGGAGAAGGACCAGCCCGAGACGAAACCGACTTCCAAGGTCAAAGGAGAGAAAGAAAAGAAATCCAAGAGGCGCACCGAAGAAGCTGAAGCGCCCGCAAAGAAGCGCAGCAAAAAATGAAGCACAGAAGCCACTCTGTCGAGCAGACTTGACCTCCGAGCAGATGCCCAAGGCGACCTATGACGAAGTGTCCGTCAAAAGCAGCCAACCCGCAGAGCAGTCAAAAGCTGGGGAGATCGCAGCAGACCAGCCGCCGAGCTTATGCTGTACTTCGACTTCGGTGCCTTTGGCAGAGTCGGAAGCCAAAAAGGTTTCAGTGGCTCTGGGCATTGATGCTTCGCTTTTGTAGCGTTGTGATCATTGCCCTTGAGTGTAAAGCTATCTGCAGGACACTCCCCCTGTCGGCTGCAGAGCTTGAGGCGGGGACTTCATACCGAAGGTCGGCAGAGTGACATGAGATACTACAAGCATCATGTGCTCAGCAACACCAGGATGGTCAGAACATTCTCCCTCCAGATGCCGTCCGGTGTGGAGAGCTTATCGTCACATGTGCAACTGAGCGGGTACAGCAGCGCCGTGCTAAGGGGCAGAGTCTGACTCCAGTCCATCTCCCGCCTATTCAGAAGCACGCTACAGGGTGAGTGCACAGGCCCGGCTCCGGCCCCTGCCGTGCTCGAGCAGGGCGTGGACTTGCAGTCGCATGGAGTCTGAGGCACCTAGCATTGTACAGCGCGGCAGATGGGCATGCCCCAACCGTGCGCCCCTCACTCGACAGCCACCGGTGACATTGGCGTTTCGCTCCTGCAACAAGCATGCTCCTTCAAAATTCGCACTAGCAGTCAGTTCGAGCCGGATTCATGCATGTGGTACCGACCGGCTTGCAACACATAAGAGCCAGGCGCTGAACTTCACACAGCAGATCTTCCTTTTGGCGAAGATCCACAATGTCACCCTGCCAATTCGGACCAGAGCACAGGGAATTTGCGTGCGGCAGTTTCGTGCCAGGGCACCCAGCTTTGCCTCTGCGTGTTCTACAGCGAGCTGCCACTGCCTTTGCCTAAGCTTACTCGACTGTCCCGGCTGTCCACTCTGTCCAGTTCGATGACTGAGGCCGTCAACCGCAAAGGTAGTCAGGGCCCGGGTTGCCCACACCTGTCTGACTGCAAGCGAACAACTAGTCTCAAGCTTATCTTTTGCAGGCTTGGAACATGTGGCCGACCCCGTTCTTGAAGAAGCTCTTCAGGACGGCCGGATTCAACCCTTGAGAAGTTGCATCGTCCTCTTTGGCGTATGAGCTACGTCACAAGCGACTTTTTGTATAGGTTGATATGCAGATGTGTCCGAGCGCACCATTTCCGCCAATCAGCGCTGACCTTAGGATGTGTCCAGTCCAGTCTCATCTAAGAATCGTGAAAAGCTTTGCGGTGGCTGTTCAGTGTGCACTATAGTCACTATAACTCACAACTTTGTCTATTCGCGTTTGGTCAGGACATCCAGCGCCTCGAGGGCGTCCTCTCAGAAAGGCCTTCAGCACCATGTCCGTGCAGCACCGAGTCTGAACCGCATGCGTCCAAAGACAATCAGCTTGTAGCTGCCTGCTTTTGGTTTGCAGCTGCACGACATCAGGTACAATCAGTTGCTTCTCCCAGCAGCCAGGAGGGTGGCAAGGTCCTCAATCTTTCGCACGGAGGGAAGGTTATACTACCAGTATACTGTATCAAGCAGTCGCCCTCCCCAAACAAGCTTTATCATCACGGGGGCAAAGTTAACCGCGAAAGTGTCGAAGAGAAGATGCGCGGACAGGTTCGCAAGCATCTTCTGGTTACTAGTTGAATGCGTGTGACGTTGGCCCTGCCAGCCGCAACCTGGATCAACCAGTTGCACCGGCATGTCTTCTTTTGGAGACGGACGGGGGGAGCATGCAGTGGGTGCATGGTGTGTCAGAACTGTGCTACAGCAATCTTGCTCCCCGTATGGCCTTGCCACTGCGGTCACATGACAGCAGCTAACGAAGAATGGTGCTGGTTGGCGTGCTTGCAGTGTAGCACACTTGTGTGCGTAGGAACAAGCTTAAGCGGTCGGGCCGGGCAGCTGTTCCGGCTCGACCGTTTTGACTTCCTCCCGCTCCCTTCGCCTCTCTTTGCATCATGGCTGGTCGCGCCTCCTCGCCTGGTGCCGCCGCTGAGGAGTTCGCCGCCTTCGCGGCGATGGCTGGATTGGACCTGGTGGGGTCTACATCCTCGCCGGCGCGTACGGCATCATTGGAGGAGATCGCGCCCGCCATGGGCGTTGGGAGCTCCGCCGGGCAGCCCTTGTCGGGTGTTGCCTCGACTGTGGCGTCGCCTGCGCCGGGCGATGTAGTGGGATTTCGCAGCGCCGCCCACATCGGGCGAGCCAGTTTTGGTTGAGCCGACGACGGGCGAGGAGGACATCGCCCCGCCTGTGTTGGGCATCCCCTCGTCCAGCGATGACGACGTCCGTGAGGAGTTCCGTCGTCAGGGGTCCTCTTCTACATGGGCCCATCGTCGTCAACGCCGGGGTTCAGACGGAGCACATCGCGCCGATCATCGCCTTTGACGCCCGCGACGTCGCCGTCCAGACGACCGGGGAAGTTTTCTTTTCCTCCTTCGTGGGCGACAACACGCAGGAGGCCTTGGCGACGGCTATTCGTGCTCTGTCGCCTGGGGGCGTTCAGGATGGCCGAGGAGCAGCCCCTGGTCGACGTGGCGCCCTCTGGTGACGCCGGTGGCCCTTCATCTTCGACGGTGCCTACGCTGGACCTTTTGGACCTCGCGCCGGCCGCGCCTGCGCCTTCGTCCATGGGCGTCGTCGATCCGGGCCCCTCGCCGGCCACAGCCCGGATCTTCTGGGAAGAACAGGACGCCACGACTGTGGCGGAACAGGCGGCCGCCAGACCGGTCCCCGACGACGACCTGGAAGCGGAACCGCCGACGTCGCTGGAGCTCTTCCTCCACGAGCAGGACGCGGTCGCCAAGGAGAAGGCGGCGTCTGACACGCCTGGGTCAGGGGAGCCCTCTTCAGCAGCGCCGGGCCCCGGGCCGAAGGCGCCCTTCAAGAAAGCGCCGCCACCGGCGCTGGTCCTTGACGCGGTCAAGGACCTCGTCGACCAAGGCGCCGCCCATGCCTTATACCCCGACCGGCCCATTTCGTTTCTGGGCGGTGCGCCGGCCAGGCCGCCGGTGAAGAAGGCTCCCGCCGGGGCTATAAGGTGCCGCCTAGGTTCGACGACAGGGGCAACGTCGTCGAGCAGAAGCCGGTGGGCCCTCCGTCTGCAACTCCTCGCCAGACGACGCCCAAGAAGGAGTCGACACCCAAGCCAGCAGCGGCATCCTCGTCTGGTGGGGCGTCGGCCGAGACGCCTTGAGGTGGTCGGCGGGGCCCATGCAGGCGCCTTCCGAGCAGTACCTCCGCCGTGCTGCGTTTGTCCGCCAGGAACAGATGGCCCGCAGCCGGGCCGGCCTCCGGTTGCTGCACGAGGGCGCCACCTACGAGGAGGCCATCCAGAGCAGCATCGCCAAGGAGCTGGCGGAACAACGCCCCGCGGATGACGGGCGCTGGCCAAGGCCAAGGCTAAGGGGCCTCGGAGGACACGACCGCCTGGTTGGGGGCGCTGCCCTGTCATGTGAGGGCGACCTACGAGACGAGCGACCGACCTCGGCCCTTCCAGGGGCCGGTCTTCGACAGGTTGGTCCGGGGCCTGGACAGGACGTGGTCAAGGGCTTCGACACGTTGGGCCGGGGGCAGCGCACGGACGAGCGCTACGCTCGACCCGAAGGGCCCCACAAGCTGCGCCCGGAGAACCCCCAGTACGTGGCCAGGAAGTCGGTCCAGCCGCGGGACCAGGAACACACCCAGGCTCGCGGCGCCAGCACGGCCCTCCCGTCGGTGGCGGGGATGGGAGGCCTGCGCCAGCTGTGTGGGGACTGCTTTGCGGCCTTGTCCTTCGCCATCTGCCAGGTCGACGAGCACGGCGACCTCAAGCTTCGCCGCGGCGAGGATTGGCGCCGGTCGGGCCACAACGCCACTATGGGGGCCATCGACGTGCCCACCCACCAATTTCTGGGGGACATCGTCGACCTGATCCTCCGGGCCTGGGCGGAAGGCTGGGACCCCGTGGTCTTTGGCCAGAACGCCTAGACGTGCTCGGGCTTGACGCTCTGGTTCCACTTCGCCATGTGCTTTGGCGCGGCGGCGAGCGTCTGGAACTTTAATCGCGCGGCGGACGCCGTGCAGATGCTCCTTCGGGCGCTCGTCCTGGTCCTCCTCGCCTCGGCCACTTCGTCGACGACTTCAACGGCGTGGACTCCTACGACCTGGCCGAGTCCGCCCACCACGCCGTCGCCGACTTCTTCGCCTTGCTCCGGCTTCAGACCAAGCCCTCGAAGGCCCAGGCACCGGCAACACGACATGTGGTTCAGGGCGTCGACCTCTCCATTCGCCCGGAGGGCGTCGAGCTAGCGCCCACGGCCAAGAGACCCGAAGGATACTGGAGCAGATCGACGGGGCCCTGGCGACCGACAGCCTGTCGCCTGACGCGGCCTCGCGCCTGGCTGGGCGCCTTACCTTCCTTTCCCAGTCCACATTTGGGGCCACGGGCCGGGCGGCGATAAAGCCGATAAAGCCGCTCTATTCCCGGTCGGCGGACACGGCCGCGAACTCGGATGACTCTTTGTCGGTGGGGCTGCGGTCTTGATGGCGTTGCGGCGCCTGGTGGCATCGTCGCGTCCGCGCCTGGTGCCTTGGCCGGGCCGTGTCCGAGGCCCCTTCCCGGTGCTCTACGCCGACGCGTTCTTCCTCGACGGGGACCTCAGAAAGAAGCCGGGGCACCTGGAGCCCGGAGAGGCCGTCCCACGGGCGGCTGGTTGGCAGAACGGCTGGGGCTACGTTCTGGTCCTGGACGGCCACGTCTTCTACGACTACGGGGTCGTTAAGCCGGAGCACCTCGCCCCCTTCGCCGCCAGGAAGGCCTTCATCTATGTCGTGGAGATCGTCGCTCAGGTGCTGCCCTTGGTCACGTTCGCCAGGCGACTCAGCCCATTCTGGATCGCCTTCATTGACAACGTCGCCGGGCAGTTTGCCCTCATGAAGGGATACGGCAAGGACCCCTCGGTCAATGGCATCCTGGCTGCATTCTGGGGCCTTGCGGCTGATCGCCAATGGTCGCCCGACTTCCACCGGGTGCCCTCGGCATCCAATGTCTCCGACGCCATTTCCAGGGGGGACGACTCCCGCGCCAGGGCCGAGGGGTGGACCAGAGTGGCCACACCGGCGGACGACATCATGGACGTCCTCTGCCAGGCCGCCTGCGACATCGAGTTCGCCTGCCACGATGCACCTGAGCGCCTCCTAGATCTAGCGGTGTGGTAGGTGCCGACGCCTTGTGGGGTGAGGGTGCGCCGGGCGGGCGCTGAAGTGCGCACCCCGGCCCCGGCACTGATTTTGTGGCGGTGCGCCTGGCCGG